TGTGTATGGTGGGAAAAACCGCATGATTTTTGCATTTTAAAATGGTAAGTTTTTCTGTGTTAATTCGATTCATTCATATTTTAGTATATTCGATTAAAATAATCATTTCTATGGGTAGCAATCGAAGCGCATGTTGACTCAACAGGAAAGAAAATTCATACTATCTTATGTACATGTGAATTGTGTGCACATTTCATTTCCGAATAAATAAGTTTTGTTTATGTATTATTCGATGCATGTAGATTCGTGGATCGATATTGATGCTTGATGAACCGTAAAAAATCGCTTCGGTTGGCACATCCCGTTTTTTTTTTAATAAATAACGAGATCCAATAACGATTGATTCAGATGTGATGTTGTACATGAGCATAGACCGATTATTATGACAGAGTCACATACGGATGTAAAATTTAAAAAAATATATATATTTATACAAGATACGCATTTTTTCTGCGATTTCAAGCGACGATTTTCTGCACAACACTTCGGGCTTCTTTTTATTACTTTTGTTGTTGAACTGTTTGGCATAGTGGGGAGAAAGAAATACCTACACGCAACGTTTAGGGGAGAATGAAAATAAGAGAAGCCAATGGCGATTATACTTTAAGTCTTAAAATCGGATTAACGGTGACAATCGATAAATTACTACTGACAATATACCGCCACTCTCCTTTTTCATAAATTCAATTTAAAAAATTCATATCCAATCACAGAAACTGCTCATATATTGTTCATATCACACATTTCTCCAGCGCACCCGCTCGATTGGTAAAATTATTTTATCGTATCGATTTTTTGGTGCATATATTTAAATGCGGTTACCATTTGTTTGCCATTTGTCTTGTCATATAAATTTAGATGAGTGTAAAGATGATTCACATATGTAAATGTTTTGTGTTTTGATTTTGTACTAATTTGAGTACTTTAAGTACTTGATATTCTCTAAGGACGCTGATCTTATGGTGTATGAAAATCAGCCAAAGACATTTGGCCCCATCCAGTTCGTTTTTAAATGCGAGTATATCGATATCATTGATAAACGTTACACCTAATTCATTTATGATAATTTATTTATGCTATGTATTTTCGATTTATATACAAATTCATCCATTTTTTTCACTTCAAAATCAAACATCACCATTAGACTGTGGTTGCCGAAGAAAAACGAAAACGATAATGTTTATTGAAGCAAACGGACCGATTTCGAATTTTCTACTTTTTTTTAGGGAGGGGGAGGGCGAAATGCTACTTCACGTCTTTGCTACTTGACTGAAGATGCGGTGGAGTAGTGTTTCAAATTTTTGAAAATGACAGAGGAGCGAAAGAGATGGGGAGTTGAAGATTGGCAATAATGAGACTTCTTCTTTGATAAAATAAACGAAATCTGAAAATATAGATTGCGAATATGGAATACAGACAGTGAAATCTAGAGAGACTGAAACGTTCAATCTCTTCTTCTTTCACGACGAAGAACAATTGAATCATTTATTTTGAAGAACGCTTCAAATTGATTGAACGAACGATTTTATCGCAAAAAACAACAACATTCGATTTGATCATCGCTTATATTGCGCAGTTAAATTTAAAAGAATAAAATGTGTGTACAAGAAATGGTAAAAATTACATTGATTTCTATCTACTTTATTTTTCTCGCAAAAATGTCATTGATAGACGTAATTTGGTCTCTTCGGCTAAGAATTTGTCGATTTTATTTTCATTTTTCAATTTCAATGTTATCCAATTACCATTGGTACTCGAATCTTCGTTGTACTATCAATTCTTTCATTACGACTTTTAAAATGAGAGATTTCATGAAAAAGAAGTGAGAAAAAAGGACATTTTTGATGGATTACCATCGAACGATAGGTAAAATTATTATAAGTACACTAATCGAAAATACAATACGTTCAAGTGTATTTCATTCATTTGAATGAATCGTATTGGGCTTTAAAATGCATTCGACCACTTGACTTAGCAATAATTTTCGTCGCAAACACTTTTCACTCTCTTTCTCTCATTCAACGACATATTTTTGAACGCAGCATATGGAGGCAATAATGAAAACCAACCATTTGATAACAAAAAGTAAATACGTGTGCATGAAGCAAATGTTAACTTTATACTCAGTCAAAATCACCTATTGATTTCATGAGAATGACGAAATAGTAAGAAAAAAAAATACATTTCGAGCCCACAACACACACGCAAAACCTCAACTAATAATAATAACAACAACATCACAACCGCAAGTACATCCTATGCCCAGGCACGTTTCGAAAGGCGGTAAAATGGAGACAATCGACATCAAAAATGAAATGAAATAAAAAAAATGTGAATTTTACGACAACCACCAAACCACACCACACTTCTACACCACTTAAATGAGTGAATTTCAAGTTTTCTCTGTCAACTGAAGGACATTAGCAGCAACAACAACAGCGTCATAGCGTTGATTGGAACGATTCGAATGTATTTGATTTTTGTATTTCCATTGGCTATCAAACATGGTGTATATATCAAATTCATGCGGAAAATGTAAGGAAAAAAAAGGGAAACATCGGTACTGTTCAGTGTGCATGACTGCATGTAGAAATCTCAATTTCATTAGCGCGACAAAGAAAATGTAAAAAAAAAATCCGAAAAACCGTTCACATACACATTCCAAAATGAGATTGAAAAAGAACGAAATCGAATTGTGAAAAAAATACGAGCAACGTGAAGAGTTTAGTTTTTAATGAGCTACAATCAATGAGTTTCTTTAAAAGCTTAAAGTACTTGATTTCTTTCTTTTTTTGTACCATTTTTCGGCTTGAGACCTTTTTCTACATCACCGAAATAAATACACGATTTTCTGCACCCAAATTCATTCACTTAATTTCTTTCTTTCTCAATGTTGGTCTTTGGAAATGTCCTTTTTACTTCTACAACGAAAATCCGTTCTCTCGAGGGGCATTTGCTTACCAATTGAAACATACTCTTTGAGAAAGAAAAGAAATACTAAGGTAGAATCTATAAATGTCTGCGGTTTTGGGCTTTTGAATTGGCTTGAGAGTGCTATTTTTCTGATATTTTTATTCTATAAAGACTTTTTTCGTCTCCAGCTAAACATTTCATTCTCATTCAATGTATGAATTTTCATTATTTGTATCTGTATTCAAAGACAAACCACTATGCGATGAATACAAAATTCGCGCTATAATGGATGATTGAAGAAGATAATTGCTCATAATATCATGATCGATTCGGTCATACTTCTATTTTTTTTTTGTGAGTATTGTATTTAATTTACAATTTGAATTATATCACTTTGCGCTAAACCAATGTATACAATGCACTGAGAAGTGCGACGGAGAGAGAGATGCAAAAAAGAAAAATGATGTAAATGCATCATTAAGCTACAAATATTGTGCAAATTACATGCAAAATGAAACTTTTGATCTACATAACATAAAAATAAATGAAATCTATTGCGTCGTTGTTGTTGGTTTTTATTGTAATAGCACTTCGGTGGATATTTGATAGAATACCGAGAAAGATATATAGTCAGAAGAAGGAGTGTGTTCGCGCTCAAGTTGGCATTTGCGTTAGTTCGACGCAAAACGCACATTCGTCTATTCTATTTGTCGAATCTTGAAATAATTTAGCTCAGCATTTAATTGTACACTTTGCACACACACACACATATATATACACAAAACACCGTATTCAATAGCAAAATAGCGTTTTTATGTGCAAATGAATTGTGAAGAGTATATGGCATATTGTGCGTATTTTAAAGTGCCTCGATTTGGTTGGAATGCATTTTGCGTTTTTCGATTGCTCGCGTACATATTACATTTTATAAAATGATGCATGTGTACACACTATACATGTCAAGAGAGGCGTTTGACTAGAGAGAGAAAGCGAGCGCGCACGACGGACGTCAACAATATGCACGATAAAGTAGTCTTTTCACATTGCATACTTACGAACAAAAATGAGAAAAGAAAATCGGTTGTAATTCAATGAAACTACGAAATTGCGTGCACATTTACGATTCAACGAAATCATTTATGGTTGTTCTTCTTGTTGTTTTTTTTTGCATGGTGAAAGGAACAACCACAAATGAAAAATATATGTGCTATAAACGATTTGGAATTTGTAACATAGCGGTACATATTATGTCGCCAAAGAGGTTGAGAGAGTGCAGACAACGAATCTACTAGAATGGCATGAGCCAAATTGATGGATAAAGTACTATTTGAAGCAAAGACCATTCTTTTCAAGACGCGGCGAGATGGAAATGGGAGAAAAAAAAAAACCATTTAGTAATTACATAATTGTAATTGTACTGAGAACTTCTTGCAGAGACAGAGCAGGAATAAAAATCAAAAAATCTCACTCTAGTGAAATAGAACAAAAGCAAGAGAGAGAGAGAGAGAGAGAGTAAAGTGTACGTTGAAATACATCATTATAAAGCTACATATTACGGCAGTTGTCACCAAATGAATGCAACCATTCAAAATGAACAAATTATAAAACTCGATTTTTTTATCGTCATTGTCGAGTATGTTCGCGATTTGCATGCGTTGAAATTCAACAACACAAAAATTCAATTGAACATTGGCTTGGAAAAGTGGTATTCGCATGCCACATATGTGTTAATAGTCGGATGTGTTTTGTCGGCGAGTATGGGTCTCTGCTTTTTTCGACGCTTTTCCAATTCCTTTAATTTTCGTCTCTTTTTTTGTCTATCGCTTCTATTCTCCATCTCTAAATCGAGGTGTCGGGTTTTTATACCACTTTATTACGTTTGCACGTAAAACACATTTCCAAAGAATTAATTTTTGATTCAAAGGTGTGTGTCGATTCGCTGGAAAATTGCTGGCGCATTTGTAATGATTTTTCTTTGGTGTTCTTTTTTTGTTCGATGAATTTCAATTTGGCGGTGAATTGAGTCAGGTGCGGCATTAAATGACAACCAAATATAGAAAATGTGCATTATGTACATTCGAACTTACCCATTGTTTTTGGATCTAGTTGATAGGGTGGTATTCCGCAATGCGCTGGCGGTGGAGTTGCCAGTGGATCGCCAACTCCATTATGACAAAAGAAACTGGGCAAGCCCATTTTATTAGCCTGTAAAGAGAATAAGAATAAAATAAACCATTAAAAATCATATCAAACCATACGAAACAAAAAAAAAACCGATCCGAAATATTTTCGGCAATGAACGTTTTTTTTCTTCATTATGTTGCTAAGTCAAATTGTATCTGGGCCGAAAAAGTGGTAGTGAAAGAAAAATCAAAATTTAGTGGTTATTGACGATCCTTTGAGAAGAGCTCTCGTCCATCTATTACTGAGGCAACATATGATATTAAACACAATAAAAGAGTGATGCGAATGTCTTACGTTTTATCGATATATAAGCATTCTCAAACTTTAGATAACACATTCAAATTAAAAATGGATGATTTTTCACATTCTCTTGTTCTTTTTCACGTCATTTTTCTTATTCACTTACACTTGGCTGTGTTTATCTACTTGGCCACCCTTCTTTCAACAATGGGTCCAAACATAAGGAAACACAATGCGGAAATCCAGTAAAAATGGCGGTGATTGAGTGAAAAAGCGAACAAACGCAATAAAGTTTGAGATGAAGAGAGAAAGAGAGAAATCAACCATCCAAAAACACAGCAAATTTTCAGTTTTCATACCCAACGGCTACTACACCATTGTACACACATATAAAGTGCACTTGGTACCAAGCAAACGGTAAAATTGAACAACACCAACAACAATAATAAAAATCCCGTCCCAAATTCGAATTGGATTGAGATAAAAAGCTCTTTGGGGCAAAAATGCATACAAGACAAACATGTATATAACATGTATTTGTATCCATTATATAGGATTTACATAGAATCGTGTGGACATCGATGCTATATAATGTAAGATTCGTTTGCATACAAATACAAGAAGCGAGAGAACGAGAGAGAGCCGATGCTTTAAAATATCAACAATAGTGCACAGGAATTGCTTGGATGCTCACTCAGTAAAACTGTGATGGATGCTTCAACAACATCAGCGTTGTAAATTTATATTCCATATATATATGTGTGTATATGCGCGATAGCTAGTGATACCACATCAGAATTGGTTGCGCACAATTCCAGCATTGGATCGAACAAGAAGAAAAAAAAATCGTCAACAACAGCATGAATTTCATTTTCGTTTTAATCATTTTGTGAAATAATTCGCCATCATTTATTTAAAATTGATTTTCGTGATCAATTTTTGTTGTTGTTTTTGTTTGTATTCAAATTTATTAAGATATTTATGAAGCGTACCCATGAAATAATAACCAAAAAGAATAAGAAATAACAATAAAATCCTTCAAAAACAGTGAACTTTACTTATCAGCATCAAAACCGCTTGAAGCGTTTCCAGTGTGGAAAATGGCCAACCGGGTGAGAGTGAGAGAATACGAGAGAGATAATATGCCCTGTGTTTATGTGTTACTCACAATTCTGTTGAAGACAGTGTGGAAATCATGCTCACTCTCTCCCTCTCGACCAAATACAAACACATATATACGCACACACACATACTGGCTCACTCGTATTGGATTGGGAATCCGTTTGCGTGCGTGTATTTTATACAGTAAGCGTGTAGCTTTTATTGTACTAGCATTGCACAAGTGAAGGAGAATGCGCTTCAAAGGAGTTACCCTTAATTTTTGGTTGCCGCCTTTTTTTCTCTCCATTTCGCACAGTTATATGCTTAGAAAATTTCATTTTTTCCTTTTCCACATCGCTTCGAAAAGAAACTGGCCAATATCTCCGTTCCAATCTACCGCTTTTTCTCTTATGCTTTTCCATTTTCTTTCCGAATTCATCAATACAATAAATCTCGAGCATAGTCTTTAAATTTCAATTCAGGGTTATTGTGATTTTCAACGCTCAAATAATTTTTCTTTTTCTTTCGAATACGTCTAAAAAACAAAAAACGGTTTGAATCCAAAAATATTTTAAGCAAATTGAAAAACATATGAGAAATCGTGATGTCAATGTATCAATGAAAGAAATCAGGAAAGAAATGTTCAGTATCACAAATTATTGCGCCTGAAAAATGCGCTTTTGTTACGAATACGACAACAAAAATGTAACCCTTTTGCTATTATTATTATTCCGGCAAAATGTTCGGTTTTTGTCATTCATTCGTATCGATTTTCATGTTGGAATGTGTATTCTATGTTATTACATTGTTAAACGATCATGTTACCGATTACCGTTTAACATTTATATAATTTTTGAAATCGATTTGGCTGTAGCAGGTATGGTGTCAACGAACGAATTACGGCCGTTATATTCAATACATGTGTGCAATTAATACAATTTTCAAAAATGTATCCCTGGAAATAGAGGAGCGAGAGTGAGAGAGAGTTAGATTTTTCGGGGTGCATTGAGGATGTTTATGCTATGGTTTTCTCTTTTTCAGTTGTTCGGAGACGCGTACAGTCGACCCAAAGTGTCTTTATCACTCAATCAGTTCATTTATAGTATATAAATATATTTGATGAACTGGAATGAGTGAGAGCGAATAAGTGAGATAAACATACACCAAGACAGAGAGAGAAAGTTACATGTTGCCGTAAAGAAGCGTTTTCTATTACCGTGCTATTTATTTATTTATTTCCAATTAAAACTGTACAATGCCTCATAAAATGAATGTAAATTGCTTGTAAATACAGCTGGAAATCCTTCCGTAAGACATAACATAAAGGTGACGCGTCGTGCGCTTCGATTTACAGAAGCCAGCTACATTTTCTCTTTCTCTCTCTCCTTTTCTCTTTCAATCACCTCTCTTATTCTCTCTAATTGCATACACAGCGCACAAAGTTCGTATGTAAATATATTATATATAGTGATGTTATTTGTTGTCAGACAACATCTATGGCTTATCGTTCCATTTGAGTCCGTCTTTTTCATTTTTCTCTATCTCACTTGTTCGATGCAGGCCTTGTTCGGTCTATCTGTTTATCGATTCATTGAAGCAAAATAAACGCAATAAACCGTGCTCTGTAGTTTTCTATGTTAAAATAGTGCGAACACACACATAATTCTATTTTGAAGCCCATTCACATTTTCATTTAATTGATCCGCATCCAAAGTGATGCACATTGAAAATTAAATCTATATCGTAGCACACAAAATACGGATGTTTCTTGATTTACATTCCCATTTATTGATTAGCACAACATTTTACAATAAAAACAAATCAAATCGACCGAAAAAATCGAAATATCTGTTGGCATCGAATTGATTTGAAATGTGACCCGAATGACAGAAAGAGTTAAAGCTTAACTTTTTTTAAATGTTTTTTTTCCCTTTTTTTACGTGAGATGTTGCCTGAACGGACTCTGCTGAAATTTTATCCAATACATACTGGCAAATCTCAAAATAAAAGTCGAATTTCACTTTTTTCCCTTTCGTTTTCGGTTTCATTTAACAGCGATTTTCGTATTCACTTTGATTTCAAAGTGTAAAAAATTTCGTGCTAGCTATAAGAGTTGAATGCTCTCGATTTTCATAAAAAAAATTAGAAGGAAAAAGGGTAAATCATATCTCGGACGAGTTGTATCGCCTTCGGATGAAAATACATCGTTTGATTCTTCATAAATCGATTTCGGCATTTTTAACGATTTCACGCAATGGATGACACATCTTTGGAATTTAAATTACAATCACTTTTAACAGTTCACCATCTATTTCAAGTAGCTTCAAACCAATTTCAATCCACACGAAACTATGTTCGATAATATTAAATTTGGTCGAGTTCATTTTTGCACTTCCGAATAAAATTCAGCATCCATCAGAGTGATGTTGATGGAGATGCGTTGCTGGTTCGGTGTGTTTGATGTTGATCAAATTTACATCGATATATTTGCAAATGTGAAATATGAATGAATTAACATTCACCACCTTCCAAAAATTATAATAAATTGAGTGCCATTGTGCATATTCAATTACACGGTGACGGTCTATGTATTTGTTTGGCATTTATTTATCTATCGGTGTTGTGTGCGATGCCGGAAAATGGAAATCATTACATTATTTATGCATAATGTTAAAATCATAGATATAATAATGACGACAACAATGTACATATATATACATTGGATCGGCATAGAGCAGAGATGCCCGGCTTTAACTTAATGAATTTGTAATAAACACGTTGTCATGTGTGTCATACAGTGCGTGCACATATATATATGGATCACAACCATCATTTTCCATTGCAGGTATTTAATTACAAGCACGTGAATAATTTACAGCGCGTTTGCTATTTATACTCATTTCTCGGACTCTCTCTCTCTGTCTCTCTTTAATGTAATACATATTTCAGTTTTGTTGGTAGTGTGTGCATGAGCGCAAATGTTTAATCCGTCTATATCATTCTGAATGGACAATTAAAGCTTACAAGTATAGAATGACGACAACGACGATGGTGGAGGTGGCGGCAATATGAACACATACTATACTACACTATATATTGCTAAAATCACTATAGGATTATACCTCGCATATTCTCTTGCTCGTTCGTTCAATTTGCAAACGCTTACACAATATGTGTTGCTACTCTTTGCTCCACTATTTAATACTTGGGGTGTATGTTGTATTTGCGAATCATTCTATGTACGTTATCTGCAAACGTTAATTGTTGGATTTAGTCATTTGATCGATGGCATGAAATTTCTAATGAATTGATAATGATGAAGAGTTGCTTCGTTCATTTTCATAAAATCGGCACGGTACCGATCAAGATACAATGTTACTTCGTTCAAACATGCTTCACGAGAGTTTGATTGCTTTTTTTGTGTTGTACATTATCGAGTGCAATCGTATGTTAAATTATGCATCGAAACTATTTTCGAAGTTAGTGTATAATTCATTAGGGGTTAAAAAAATGTATGGTCATTTTTGTTGGTGTTGTGCAAAGTATTTATCTTTCGAAACTTCTACAGAACCGTTTTTTTTTGTTGTCTTTTTAGTAAAAGTAGAGAGTAATACATATTGCCAAGCCACAGACGATTTCATGTCATGAACGATTAGACATTTTCACATCGGGCAAATACA